CAAGTCTACAGTCGTGTCCTTTTAAAAATTCTGTGCATCATGATATTTTTCTCTGTTAGTGACCTAGGCAACGCAACTGAAGAATGCAATTGCTGGAAGGAAGGAATTAGATATGGCCTACAGACAAGATCCTTTTAAAGGGACATATTTATAACTGAAAATACATGTTTATTCTACTTTGAAAGGGATGCCATCTGTCGTTGTTTAACTAATCCTATGCTTTCTTTCTAGTGGTTTATATTTTGCATTTATAGAATCACTCTGCAAACCCTCTGGCGACAGAGGCATGTAGATTAGACTACCAGGCATAGGAAAATGAAGCGGCGATTTAAATAATCGCTGCTTCATTTAAATTTACATGGCTGCCGCGCTGAGCCAATCAGCTGTTTGTCAGCTCAGCGCAGTAGTCTGGACGGACGGGGGTTGACATCAAAGTCATTTGTCGACCTCCCAGGTATGCCTCATAGCACAACTGAGCAGAATCTGCAAAGAACAATGAATGAGCAATAAGGTACTGGCCAAATTCAAACTCAGAAATAAACACTATTCAGACCCCATAATTCCTCCCTGAAATTTTAATTGACTACAGCAATCTTCACGTAATCTAATGTTACTACACGGTGGCAAAACCAAGTGTTCCATCCCACATATGATTGCATTTGATGGCTGAGTAAAATGATCGTTATGTCCCTTACTCACTACATGAAAGTGTTAGTGATTGTACCCTGGCAGTACTAAATATTTTATTCAATTGACTTTTTTTCCCCAGTAAAAAATGTGCAAATAAATATTTAATGATTTGCTAGTATGAGGTGGTCCAACTGGTGGCCTGAGGGAAGGGGAGCCAAGTTGGAAGGAGGAGAAGTCTGGAAGAGGAGCCAAGCTGTGGGAAGTGGGAGTATAGAACTAGGAGAAGAGCTGGGACTGTATGTAATGGAAAATAGGGGGAGGGGAAGGGAGAGACTTGAAAGAACTGGGGCTTCATGGAACAGAGAGCTGAACTAGTGCAGGGCTAGAGTCTCCCTGGTAGACTCAGGGAGAGTCAGGCTGATGGTGGTGGTGGGGGCAAATATGAAAACATTATCATTCCACTGCTGTTGAAAAAAAATTTACTTTTGCTACTTTAAGCACTGCCCTCGTTTAATACTTTATTAAATTAGTAATAAAGAAACAAACGAAACAATTTCTACCACAAAGAATGCCAATGCATGGTAGACTGCAATGCTATTCACTCAGATTTGTCCCAAGGGTCCATCAGGCCAAGCTGCCCCCACCAGCTTTTTCAGTTCTTTAAGTGCCACTGGTTGTGCAGGGGTTGCCAATTCCTATGTTGCCATTTCTAGGGTTGCCAATTTTCTAACTGTACAAAACCAAATACCCTTGCCCCGCCTCCCTTCTATGCCACATAGTTCATTCTCAGATTCATGTTTTGTGTGGCCAGAAGTGACCACTGTGATCATCTTGTGACCTCTTTCATAACACAGGCCTTCCGTGAATTAATTCCTTTTTGAACTAGAACAAACAGGAATTAGGGTGTGGTTGCTATATGTTGACATCATCCTCATAAGAAATCAGGATGTCTCCTTTTACACTTTGACCTTATGTGGGCTACTTTATTTCACATGCTTGCCTTGTCTTCCGTTTTACAGGAAACTTCCATCCTTTTTTCCAAGGCTCAGCCCTAGCCCTTCTTTCTAGGCGTGACACTTTGTAACCCCGGTACCTCTGGGTTTGCTGCCTCTGTTTTAATTGCTTGAGCCCTGACATCTCTTTTATTACAAACTAAGCACTCTCTCTAACTGTACATCCCAGAAACACCAGGAAAATATATGCCAGATTTATATAGAAGAGCAACCAACTATGTTCTAAAGTGGGGGGTGTACTTCAAACAGGAGACTGAGTGTTCTACAGTGACAACACATACATGAGTGGCTGTCCCTTGTGACGCTCACCATCATCACTGACAGACACAGGGAACCTGAAGGTCAGCAAAACATTTGGCATATCAGTAGTTACTGAGGCAAAGTTCAATGTACAGAGTAAGTCTGGAAGAGCAGACCAGCTGCTTTGGCTTAAGTAAAGGCAAAAACATTGCACAGTTCTCCCTGCATTGTTCCTTATCCCCATAATTTCCATAACTTTGATTTACAGTGCTGAAGAACATGGAAACAGCATTTAAATTTAGCATCAGCAATGAAAAAATACAGCTTACGTTAATTTTACAAAAGTGTAAACAGTTTTCATTCCAAAGTGATGTTTTCTTTTTTGTTTAAAAGTTTAGTTAATTTGCTACTTGCTGTTTCTATGCAAGTCTACAGTCGTGTCCTTTTAAAAATTCTGTGCATCATGATATTTTTCTCTGTTAGTGACCTAGGCAACGCAACTGAAGAATGCAATTGCTGGAAGGAAGGAATTAGATATGGCCTACAGACAAGATCCTTTTAAAGGGACATATTTATAACTGAAAATACATGTTTATTCTACTTTGAAAGGGATGCCATCTGTCGTTGTTTAACTAATCCTATGCTTTCTTTCTAGTGGTTTATATTTTGCATTTATAGAATCACACAGCAAGCCAATATTTTGTTGTCAGTGACACCCATCCAAACTTACTGACTTGCATGGTTGCAAACGAGAAAAATATCTGGATTAGTATAAAACTTTTGTTGTGATGACTAATGAAACAGGCTCTGGTCTCCATATATTGTCTAAACTAAATGGGCACAATTCTAGATTCTCACATGCATATTTCCCTTTGAAGTTAACTGGGTTACCTTCCGCATTGTTGAAGGCTGAGCTGAACCAATAAATCTGATAATATGTGGAGTACATTAGATTAAATAGGAAAAATAGAGACCCCCCCCCCCTCACAACTGAGCAGAATCTGCAAAGAACAATGAATGAGCAATAAGGTACTGGCCAAATTCAAACTCAGAAATAAACACTATTCAGACCCCATAATTCCTCCCTGAAATTTTAATTGACTACAGCAATCTTCACGTAATCTAATGTTACTACACGGTGGCAAAACCAAGTGTTCCATCCCACATATGATTGCATTTGATGGCTGAGTAAAATGATCGTTATGTCCCTTACTCACTACATGAAAGTGTTAGTGATTGTACCCTGGCAGTACTAAATATTTTATTCAATTGACTTTTTTTCCCCAGTAAAAAATGTGCAAATAAATATTTAATGATTTGCTAGTATGAGGTGGTCCAACTGGTGGCCTGAGGGAAGGGGAGCCAAGTTGGAAGGAGGAGAAGTCTGGAAGAGGAGCCAAGCTGTGGGAAGTGGGAGTATAGAACTAGGAGAAGAGCTGGGACTGTATGTAATGGAAAATAGGGGGAGGGGAAGGGAGAGACTTGAAAGAACTGGGGCTTCATGGAACAGAGAGCTGAACTAGTGCAGGGCTAGAGTCTCCCTGGTAGACTCAGGGAGAGTCAGGCTGATGGTGGTGGTGGGGGCAAATATGAAAACATTATCATTCCACTGCTGTTGAAAAAAAATTTACTTTTGCTACTTTAAGCACTGCCCTCGTTTAATACTTTATTAAATTAGTAATAAAGAAACAAACGAAACAATTTCTACCACAAAGAATGCCAATGCATGGTAGACTGCAATGCTATTCACTCAGATTTGTCCCAAGGGTCCATCAGGCCAAGCTGCCCCCACCAGCTTTTTCAGTTCTTTAAGTGCCACTGGTTGTGCAGGGGTTGCCAATTCCTATGTTGCCATTTCTAGGGTTGCCAATTTTCTAACTGTACAAAACCAAATACCCTTGCCCCGCCTCCCTTCTATGCCACATAGTTCATTCTCAGATTCATGTTTTGTGTGGCCAGAAGTGACCACTGTGATCATCTTGTGACCTCTTTCATAACACAGGCCTTCCGTGAATTAATTCCTTTTTGAACTAGAACAAACAGGAATTAGGGTGTGGTTGCTATATGTTGACATCATCCTCATAAGAAATCAGGATGTCTCCTTTTACACTTTGACCTTATGTGGGCTACTTTATTTCACATGCTTGCCTTGTCTTCCGTTTTACAGGAAACTTCCATCCTTTTTTCCAAGGCTCAGCCCTAGCCCTTCTTTCTAGGCGTGACACTTTGTAACCCCGGTACCTCTGGGTTTGCTGCCTCTGTTTTAATTGCTTGAGCCCTGACATCTCTTTTATTACAAACTAAGCACTCTCTCTAACTGTACACCCCAAATGCCTGAACACATTACTTTTTCCCTGGACCATATCTGTACCCAGTTGGCACAGCAAATCAGTTTAGGGGAAATGGAGAGAAGGCTCCATGCTAACTTGTGGCTGTGAAAGGAGGAACACTATGCAACAGAGTTGTGAGGGGCTACATGAATCTTGAATAGAAGAGGTCCAAAACAAAAGTAAGTATACTTTCATGAACATTTTTAAAAATAAATATTTTTTTCTCATTTCCTTCAACATTTCTCATGATATTTTGGTTAGATAAAGAATTTGAAACTTTTTTTTAAATCAATTTTTTGTTTTAGTGAGGAAAAAACCCCACTTTCAGTTTTTTATGTTTCCCATTCACAATTTTTTTCCATAGGGGAAAATATGCTAAAAAGTAAGAGAAAGTAGGATTTCACCCACCAAAAAGAAACAAAAATTTTCAATCTTTTCATTTACAATTTTTAAAAACAATACTAAGATCTTCGCAAAAGTGGAAATAAATTTGTGAACATTTCAATTTAACCAAAAAGTCATTTTTGATGAAAAACAAGATAATCCAGCCAGTTCTGAATCTGAATTGGATTCATATATTTCTTCATTACATTTAAATGCACATAGCATCAAAGAAATCTACAAAATATACAATAAATACCATTGTAATCAGACCACCAAGGAGTATAATTTTTAAAAGTCTTCCATAAGTATTCTAACTCATCTGTGTGACAAATTTAGGTTATATTTCAGATTCTGACACAAGACTAAGTGGTTCAAAGATTCGCTATACTTTTTTTTTTTTCAGATCTTTGATCACTCTGCCACAGGAAGCTAGAACAGAGACAGAAGAATGTAAATTATCATGTGAAGATAACACACACAAAACATGAGCTGTGAATATCTGATTCTTAAGTACGTTAGGAAAATGGCAAAGAAATAGCAGCAATAAAAATGAGAGAGAGAGAGAAGGTGGCATTGATTGAAAGTGACCATGACATTTTTGCAGGAATGTTCTCTCCCTAGTAAAAGTACTTGGATAAGAAAGGTAGCTAATGTAAAGCATTAAAAAAATAAAATCAAATCAAATAAAGGATCTCACTTCCACTAAAGCTAACGGTAGTAAAATTCTATTTTAAAGCTAAAACAACAAGGAGCCCAATGGCACCTTAAAGACTAACACATTTATTAGGGTATCAGCTTTCATAGGCTGCAGTTCATTTTGTTGGATGCATGAAGTGAAAGATACAAGTGCCAGGGATATATACATACGTACAGAGATGGGAGTGTTACATCAGTATTATTGAGGCTAATTGAATCAGGGTGGATGTGGCCCACTTCCAACAGTAATACGAAGGTGAGCATGCCTAAAGGGAAAAATTACTTATTGTAATGAGCTAGACCTGAGTTTATACTGGACACTCCAGTGTTGATAAAGATATTGCTCATTGATTTTCATCTACAGAATACATTCCACATTGTGACTAGTTCATTTTCAGCAACCTGTAAAACATCATTTGTAATCACATTTAGTAGATTGGGAAATGAAGACAAGAAATTAAAGTACTTGCTCCTGATGTATGTCAGAATTGAAATTACAAGTATCTGGCTCTAAGTTTAGCACTCAGATGATCACACTTCACTGTGTTACCAAAGAAACAGTGTCTTCCTTTCAGAATCAGTGGACATCACGAGCAGGCAATGGAAGGAGTACAGGCTGGGATTGGGCTGTTTATCATCCTTTTTATAGGTTGCAGAGCTAACTAACTTATGCTGCTCTGACATCCCTGGAGTGGATGCATTTAGTTAATTTTGTTCAGTCTAGCCTCATCTATATTACTAACTGGCTCTGTGTATGGAGATCCATGCAGTACTACAATGAGTAGAGGGGGACAGCAGAGAAAAAAGTGAAGAACGGGAAGAAAAGAGATAGGAGAGATGGTTCAACTGTTGTAGTACCATGAGCTTTTGTGGGTAAAACCCATTTCTTCAGATGAGATGATCTTGAATGGAGAAAAAAGGGTTTATTTATTTGGGTTTGTTTATTCTGAGGGTCCCCTTTTTTCTTCCATTCAATATCATCTCATTGGAAGAAGTAAGCTCATGATTCTCTCTCTCTCTCTCTCTCTCTCTCTAAATATATAAAGTCTCTAACGCAGGGGTTACCAACCCGTAGATCAGGATCTACCAGTAGATGTTGGAGTCTTTGACAGGTAGTCCCGATTGGTTTGGCCAAGAGGCTATCAAGGGCCAGCACTTCAGCTGACCCTCCCCCCACTGCTGCTCATCTCCTGCCCTTTGCTTTGGAGTTCTCCTCTCTCCCAAGCCTCCTCCTTGCTGTGTAGGGCAGGGGAGGGAGAGGAGGGCGGTGATGACAGGATGCTTCTGCTCCCCCTTCGTATCCTATCTCCACAGAGCAGAGAGGGGGCACAACAAGACTTGAGAGGGAGTTGTTGGCTGCTTTTGGGAGTGCTGCAGGGCCAGGGCAGGGGTGAGCCTGCCTTAACCCCACTGCACCACACCTCACGAGCCACCTGAGGTAAGCAGGGCCCAGCCGGAGCCCACACCCCAAACTCCTACCCCAGTCATGAACCCCCTCCTGCACTCCAAGCTCCCGCCCTAGCCCCAGGCAAGCCTGCATCCAAACACCCACCTAGAACCTGCCCTCCGGCATCCCAACTGCCTGCCCCAAGAGCGGCTCAGAGCCCCTCTCACACTCCAGGTACTTAATCCAAGACCAGAGCCTGTGCCCCAACCTTCTGCCCCAAGTCAATGAGGATGGGCAAGAGAGGGTGGATGGAGTGAGCAGGGGCGGGGCCTCAGAGAAGGGGCAGGAGGGAGGCGGGGCAAGGTTATTTATACTTGAGGGAGATCTTGGATTGCACTTAAATTCAAAAAGTGATCTCGTGCTTAAAAAGGTTGGAGACCACTGCTCTAAAGTGCCACAGGACTACTCATCTTTAAGTTACAGACTAACATGGCTACTACCCCTTTGAGACAATTGCTGTAGCGTTAGACAACTTCTTGTGTGTCGTTGGGCAAATCATTCAGCCTCTCTCTCTATTAGCTGAGTTCTTCATCTTTAAAATGGGAGACGTTTCTTACAAAGGTGTTGGGAGAATGAATATATCAGAGACCACAAGGCACTCCTGTAGTACAGTAACTGGGATTATAGAAGGACAGGAGATGATAAAGAAGAAGGGAAGAGTGCAGGGGAAACAGAGGTGGTGAGATGGGATGAGACAAATTAGAAGTTTTGGGAAGACAAAAAAATGAAAAGTCCGAGACTAGTTAAGAGACTGAAATAACTTGGGG